AGAAAGGGATCATTTGTTTCCTTCATGGTGGATCTCAGAGACACTGGACATACAATAAGAAAGGATGAAAATAACTGGTTTAAAAAACAGGACAAATGTAACTGTCTGTACAGTGCAACAGAAGTCACACCACGTGGACTATTCAATTCTATAAATAAAACCAAGATAAGCTATCAAACTTGCCATAATATGCACATTTAAAGCTGGGGTTCCTTTTTTTTTTCCTTGTCTGTCTTCAAATGTTGAGAAGCCGTGTGATTACCCTCTCATTAATACTGGAACATAGTATTATAACTCTAGCCAACGCCAGTAGTGGAAATATAATAAAAAGTTGAACTGCTGTAACTTCTTTTACTCTAAATAGTACCTATTCAGTTCCCTTTCATATATTCTCAATTACATTTATAACATCATTGTAATATATCTAGTTGAAATGTGCTACTTGAAAGACTAAATAACAATTTTTAAATAACAATTTTAAGTGACAATTTTGCTATTAGACTTCATTTAAAAATCACCACGGAGCTAAAAAATCAAACAAACCACTATCACTACCCTGATATTAACAAAGTATGGCGAGTTATTGAGGATTATCCATATGATGCAAAAGATGTGTCAAATCATCTATCAAGGAACACAAATTATTTTATGCATTCAATTCAAATGTTGTTTTTGTAACAGAAGAGTTGGTGGCTGAGAGAACTTTAATTACCTATCAGAATATAAATACTGGTATGGTGCTATCTCACTTGGTTATTAATTGATGAGCAAATATTAAAAGAAAAATCGAAGTCAGTCAATTACGCAAGGAGTATATTTGTTACGTGCTAATAGCCTTGTGTCGTAAGCCAACACTAATTATAAAAGGATGCATTTTATTTTTTTCAAAAGTATAGCATCCTTATTCTTTGTACAATGGTATGTTACCGTGGTTCTTAGATACGCGACTAGACATTTAAGAAGCCTCATTTAATGTTGATTTGCCTGCTGCTACTAATCCATGAAAAGAATTAGCTTCAGCTTCAAAGATTTGCCACAGGCAGATGGTATTTCAAGTGACTGTCAGAGGATTTGACACTGAGCACAAGATTTAAGAGTGGAACCATCTCAAAACTCAAATACTTCTCACTGAACAAGGGGAATTAAAGGGGGAGAAATGTGTGGTGGATTTTAATTGTTGCAGCCACTTGGGGAATCAATCTTAGTTGAAAAGCAAGGTAGAAATATTGGCCGTAATCAGAATCAGGGGACAACAACTTCATCCATCCAAAGCAGACCCTTCTGGAGTAGCCTGTGGTGCAATACTCCGCTTGAGAAAGGTGACTATTATGAAAGCAGCAAAGAGGCTTACAGCCCCATTCCAAAACAATGGCTCTATTTCTAGAAGGGGAAAACAAACAAACAAGCAAACAAGCTACAGTATAAAGCAAAAGGTTATGACTATATTCCCTGAAACAAGAAAAATTAGACCACAGAACAACACCTCTCACACACACCTACCCATTCAGAACACAGCCATATTAATGCATCCTCCTTGTACCTTAACATCTACCTCAAACACTTCAGCTGAAATTCTGTTGCTTAGTGTCACAATATATTAGGTCCACTGAATTGGTGGGGATTTGGTGAGTCAACGCCTCCATAAATTCCACTGGTTCTAATGGACATGTAATTTATATTAGCATAGTATTTTGTAATTAGAGCAGGCCCTTTTGCATCAATGAAACTTGTGGAGGAGTTAATTCATCAAATCCCCATTGATTCAATGGGCCTACTCTACTGTGTACACTAAGCAACAGGATTTCAGCCTATGACATGTTTCCAGCATCTACCCCACTTCCAAATCAGCATCACTAATGGCATGGAAGAGCTGGAATGAAACAGGTTCATAATTTGAAGGCCACTCATGTATTCAGAAGTGAGAGTCAGTGTGGTGGGTAGCCCAGTGGACATGGGAGGCTGAGGTTTCCAGACCTTGCTGAACTATGACACTTGAGACACATTCTTAGCCTGACCCACCTCACAGAGTTGCTCTGAGGATAAAGTGGGGTGGAAGAAATTCACCAGCCTACTTGTTCAGAGAGAGTTACACTATTCGGTATTTCCGAATATATACTGGCTATTTGATGGGCAAAAGAAAAATGAGGGAAGTACTTGCTAAAGAGAAGTAAGGAGAGGCAGGGAAAAGTTAACTGTTAGCTGATAGCATAGAAATAAAATGATGAAAACAATTTGGTGTACATCTCAATGAACTAAATTCTGTCAGCACTGCGAAATGTTTTTATCACTTGTTCAATATATTTCACATTTTTTCAATGACATCACAGTGCAGAATATTAAGACATTTAGTGTGATATAAGAGAAAGAAAGAAAAGAAACGAGAAGAGATTTAACAATTATATTACAATAGATTTCTGGGTGCTCTGTCAGGGCATGTCTGTGGAAGCCATCTGCAGAGTATCAGTGTAAATGAGACTAAAGAACACAAATGCTGAGCTGACATGAAGAATCAAAGAGAAAGAGCAAAGAAATGCTATTGTAACTTGCAACACCCTTGGCATTTTGTGCGCATTCAAAGGAGAAAACACACACCACGTAGGACTCTTCTCAATGGCTGGTGTACCTTTGAAACTTTGTGAATTAATAATGAAACCCACAGATGGCATACGGCAGCGTTTGAACTAGACTCATTTTGACAAGTGACATGGAAGACTATGCATCTCATAACGTGAAATTAAGCATTTAAAATGCCACTGGTAGGTGTGAACAGGCCTTTTAAAATACAGACATATACATGCACTGCCACCTTCAAACACAAGGTGCTAGGCAGCCAGAAAATTGTCAAAACATTTTTTGAAAAATTGATGTCAAGTAATTCTGAAGCAACTGTGAAAGAAGCAGCGTTCAGGGTCATATGGATCACCAACATCATTCGATTGCTTACTTATGACTTCCACTGATAAACTGAGACCTTAAGTTTGTAGTATACAAGCACACATTTTAACTTTTACTTTCTTATCCTCTAGAGAAGCTCAGATTCAAAATAAAGGTTGCTAAATACATGTTTAAATCCTCTGCTAGATATATTAATTTCTTATTTCAGTACATGTAGTGATTATCACTGTTATGGCTAATTTTATTTTTGTCATTATGACTGCCCTTCTATACTATAGGAAGCTGCCTTAAACTGATTCAGACCTCCGGTTGATGTAGCCAAATGATGTCAATTCTGACTTGCAGCAGCTACCTAAAATTTCAGGCATGGTTATTTTGTGGTCCACTCTGGAGATATAGAGAACTCCCTGAAAGTCTCTCAATCAGTTATTAACTTGATCTGACCCTGCTTAACTTCTGAAATCATTTGAATCTGTAGTCCTATTCAGTTGTTACTTATTAAACTAAGTGTCTTTACTGAAGGTAGAAGGAGCACTCCATCCCTATTCCATGTTTCTAAGTTTGTTGCTGACTTCCTGTGGAGAGAGTCTAGAGTCTAGACAATAGCCTTCGCTATCTGTGGTGGCTCTAAACATGAATCATGCCCCTGGGTGGACTGGGGCTGGAGTGCTCACCTCTATCATAATAAGTATTTAGTAATGGCTGAATAGAGCTTGACTATGTTCACAGCTGGGTCTTATATCTAATGATATTCTGCAGCAACGTACAAGGTGGTGTTTTATTTTAAACAATTTAAGAATAACCAAATAACCATGTACACCAAAAATAAACATAGTAAAATTTCAGGCTCTATGGAAAGAAGATAAATCAGCTCTTGGACAGCTCATATTTTCAGAAAATTACTTATGGCATTTCAAGAAAAATGAATGTATTCTGTGTCTGTTTTAAATCCATTGGGTAGGTTGAGGGGGGGAAGCTAAGTCATGAAACCTCCCACTCTTAAGTGGGAGGGTTGGCAAAATATGCAAAAAGAACTGAGATTAGCCCCATTTTCTTTTTTGTAGGAAACTGCAACCTTTTTGCTGAAATGGTAAGTGTGGAACATTTTTCCCATGTCCAAATATATCTGTAACTGTAACTGCCTACGGTGAAGGGAATAAGGGAGTTCTGCTTTATCAGTCCCAGGTTGTCTGATGTTTCTTCCCTTCTGGGGGCAAACCAGCAAATGAGCCGTGGTTTGCAATGTTCACTCCGCCTATTCTCAGACAACATGGGCATTTTTGATCGGGGTGCACTGTGTTCAAGCAAACATTTAACCATTTAATTTACTTATTAATATTCTGCCCAAAGCAACGGGTGTTTCCATGCTGGAGACTTAGACTGGACAGAGCTTCTTCTTTTCTTGAAGACAATAAGTTGTTGTGCCTTCAATCTGCACATTCTCTTTCATAAAACCTATCATTGTGAAACATCATGCTTTCTGTACCTATTCATACTTTGGCAGACAAGGAATACATACAGTATATATATATACTTCGAGCCACCCTCATCACAACGGGCAATTCGTGTAATGACTAACTTAAGCACTTTATATTTGTATTCAAGAGAGAGAGAGAATCGCAGAATGGGAAGCCATACTAAAAGTCATCTAGTCCAGTGCCCTGCCAAGAAGGGAAATCCACAAAGCATGCCTGGCAAAGGGCCAGTTCACTCCTTTTTAGATGAAATGTCCCTCCTTGTACAGTGATAAACAGAATCAATCATTTGTTTGGTGCATGAAAACATGCTTTATTCCATTTGTTGGCTGTAGTTTTTTCCACCCTGGATAATTTAATGGTTTATTCTTACTTCCATAAAGGGCTATATTTACAATTTGTTCCTCCTCCTCCTCTTCTTTTGCATTTCCCTTGACAAAAGGCAGGACCACTGGGTATGTTCGGGCTCAGATTTCATGAAGTGAATTCAGTCATAAATGTTTGCCATTTTGCCTACAAATAGTTGCACTTATAGATGGGAGACTCACACAAAGCTAAAAAAAACTCACACAAGGTGTTTTTAGAAAGGAATTTTCAATCACTGCAGTGATTCTTTTTTTTTGAACATACCTCCAGATGCTCTAAAATATAGGGAGGATTTGTCATGCCAAGTCTCAGCATTGCTCCCTCAGGGATCACTTCCACCAGCTTCCACAAGAGAGTAGGCAGGTCTGTGTCAATATCTCGCCCATAAGCCCCAGTGTCTTCACTGGTCAGCCATATTTCGCATACACCTTCTGGAGAGAGGGAGAAAGAGAGAGAAGGAGATTGAGAGAGAATTAACAAATCTGCTTTTGAATGTGTTATTTTATTATACAGCTGCTCAATTGGTTTTAATGCACTATTTCGTATGCCTAACCGTTATACAGCCAAGCTGTGAAGAAAGAAAGGCATATCCCTTGGGTAGTAGTAGGTTACCAAGTTCATTTTATGAGCAGTGGAGTGCTACAATGGTGCTGTAAATTATTGCTTTGGAGTGATTAACATTCACAGCCAGTGACTAATACCAGACGCCTTCTTAATACAACTCAGACAGGAGTAAGATTGCACTTCCATCTCTAAGATTCTCTTGCTTATTAAGCATTATGAGCAATGGTGCTTAAGGAAGTCCTATGTAGTGCTGGTTAAATTGCTAACACTTAGTTGACTAATTGTTTTGTCACTAGCCTGGAAAACACCAAGTATTTAAGGCCCAAAAAGCCAACTGCTGACTATATCAACTGTTATTTACAGCAAGGCAACTGTTACAGATTGAAACCTTTATGTGATATCTACAAGGCTATATTAAAATGCTTTAATTTTAAACAGATAGTAAGTATAGGATGCAGAAACAAGCTTATGAAGAAAATACTTTTTCAGACAGCTCTGACTCATGTATTACTGACATTGCAGGAAGTAACCATGTTTTATTTATTGCTTACATGAACATAGATACTATATACAGAAAGTTAATCATGTTATCCCATTCCAATAAATTATCATTTTGTGGTTCACCCACTAACCACAATTGGCCAGTAGTGAAAGTTCATATATTTTTTTCTCTGCCTTCTGTTGCATTGGGAACAAAGCAGATGGAAAGGGGTAAACTTTGTTAATTATGAAAGTGAGGTTAGAGTAACCAGAACAAATCCTAAGTACATGTGCAGTGGGGCCTCGCAAGACAATTTTAATTCGTTCCGCAAAAATCGTTGTCTTGTGAAAAAATTGTCTTGCGAGGTTCCCTATCCATCGGTCTAAAAAAAAAAATCTTGCAAAGCATGGTCATAGAAAAAAGTCTTGTGAGGCAAAAACCAATCATCTTGTGGGTTTTTCATCCCGTGAGGCAATCGTCTACTGAGGCACCACTGTATTCCAATTAGCCTCATAATTGCCCCCTTTTAAATATTGTCTTTGTTGTCTCCAGTTTTGAAATTTATCTCATGAGATTGCTTTGCTTATGAAACTTGATAAAATATATTTATATTTATTATTTATTTGATTTATGTACTGCCCATCCATGCATGATGGACACTGCATAAATAATAAATATTGTTTAGATTCTTCAGTATGAAATTAATATCCAAAGTAAAAGGTTGAATTTTATCCACACCCAAAAGATTTGAAACACTTGGACCTAGATTCAAACAGAAGGCTTCTGCTTTATCATACCATGAGTGCTCCCCTCTTCTCTTGAGAGCGCACAATGAAGGTCAACAAAAGACCACTTTGTTGGTCTTGCAACATATTTAAATATAATTTTTAATGTAGTGATTTTATACTACTCCAGCCACTTTGGAGAAGTGTGGTTATAAATCAAGCCTGCACAACTGGTAACTCACTAGGATAAAAGCAGCCTAATATTGGGGAAACATGACAAGAGATGGATCAATTTCCTTTTCTCCCCAATACATGTTACCATGTTGTGTTTGGCTTAACAAATAATGTGAGGCTGGGTCTTCAAAGGATGGAAAATAAATTATTTTGATTTGCACCTCAGCATGGAAATATGCATTTTGCCCACCCTGAGACTGAAATTAGGACAGAGTGCATCTTGTCTTAGAAATATACATACCTGTGATGCTTTTGATATATTTTGGAGGGTTGCAGTGTCTGCAGTCCTGAGGGGAATGCGATTCACCAAGGCAGATCAAACAAGTGTCGTGCCCGTCTTGATGAGGGATCTTAGCTGAACAGAGCACGCACTTTCTGAAAAGGCCTGAAGGTGGGGGGGGCATAAGGAAGGCAAACAGACGTCCGTTAAAAAGGGCGGGAAAAAACGGAGGAAGCCCAAAGGGGCGAAAGAAAAGGGAAAAACGATACGAGTCCAAACAGTAGGCAGCAGAGTAGTCGGTAAACAGGCTAGGGTCAAAAAACCAGAGGAAAACAAGCCCGTAAATAGCGAAGTAAGAACAATCTAAAGAGCTGAGATCCAAAGAGAACCACTTCATCCGGCGGAGAAATGGAACTGAGGCTTGGGTGGGCGGAGCATGCGCAGTATAGGCAGCACTAACTTTGTTTCTTTTCAGAGCTCTGGAACATTCCGAAGAGACCTACGCTGGCGCTGGTTAACCCTTTATGTGTGTATTCACAGAAGACCACGCTGAAGAATAAATTATTTTGATTTGCACCTCAGCATGGAAATATGCATTTTGCCCACCCTGAGACTGAAATTAGGACAGAGTGCATCTTGTCTTAGAAATATACATACCTGTGATGCTTTTGATATATTTTGGAGGGGGATGTGCACATAAATCCATGAACACATTTTTAAAATGTGCACAGCTAAAATGTGTGGATTTGAAAACTATACACAGATATGCTTTAGTTAATAGGGGAATTCATACATTAAAAATGCATACCCTGTTTCCCCAAAAATAAGACCTAATCTGAAAATAAGCCCTAGTATGATTTTTCAGGATGCTTGTAATATAAGCCCTACCCCAAAAACAAGCCCTAGTTAAGTGAAACCCCGCCCTCCACCATTGTGCAGTAACCAGAGGATAATGTGACTGTATTTGAATAAATGTAGATTATTGTACATGGAAAAAATAAAACATTCCCTGAAAATAAGCCCTTCTGCGTTTTTTGGAGTAAAAATTAATACAAGGCCCTGTCTTATTTTCAGGGAAACAGGGCACAAAATGTGTAACTGAAAAAATAAATGCAAAAATGGATATAACAGAAATATCCATATTATGATAACAAAGTATGTATACATTCTGCTAAGAAGAACTGGCAGTTACCAACACCACACTTAAATCACCACCAAACCTCCAAGAGTGGGAATCCCTGCAAGACAGCACTGAGGGGAAAATGTCAGAGTGAACCAGACAGATTTATGTTCTGGTTAATTAAATGTATTGTAACAGTATCAAGCCAGTGAACACCTGACACAAAATACAAAGAATTACATAGGAATATCTGGAATAGAATTGTGGATTCTAAAGAAAAATGATGGTCTAGCAGTGGTTCTTATCTTTGGGTTACTCAGGTGTTTTTGAACTTCAACTCCCAGAAACCCCAGCCAGCACAGATGCTGGGAGTTCAGGAATTGCTGCTCATTTGGCTCTATAGAGGATGCCTCTCAAAGAACTACAAGTCCCAGGAAGACCAGAAAATCCAGGTAGCAGCCCAGCAACTTCCTCTTTTTTGAAAGCAGGAGGAGAGCAGAGAAAGCAGTGATGGAGGTATGTTTCTAGGATGCACCTCCCAGAATTCTGCCTGCAGAACTCTTGGAGAATTCTAATGGCTGCAGTCTAAAAATATGAAAGACAACATTCGTAACAGCTTGCTTATGGACTATGAAAGAGCTTTCAGCAAAACTCAACGCAGCAAGCTGATGGAATTCTTAAAAATACAGTGGGATCTCGACTTACAAACTTAATCCATATTGGAAGGCAGTTCTCAGGTCGAAAAGTTCTTAAGTCGAATCTGCATTTCCCATAGGAATGCATTGAAAACCATTTAATCCGTATCTGCTCTTTTCGTCCATAGAAACTAATGGGAAGCTGCTATTCCGCCCTCTGCCACTAGAGGGGGATATTTTTTTTCTTTTTTCCTTTTAACCTAAGATGACTTAGCTTTAAAAAAAGGGGGGGGGAAAGAATTCGTAACTCGAATCTAAGTTCGTAAGTCGAGTCCATATATTCCTATGAGAGCGGTTCGTAAGTCGAAACGTTTGTATGTCGAGCTGTTCGTAAATCGAGACCCCACTGTAAAGGTCTATCTGAAACAATAATAATTATGTGCCATCCTGCCGGTTTCAATTTATGGTGACCCTTCCTGGGTTTTTCAGGTACAAAATACTTGGTTGAGCATTCCCTCCTTATAGTAGTGTTTTGGAACTGTGCATTTTACTCAATTAAAAAAGTAATTAAGATGATTTAAAAATGAATGTTATGACAACCAAGTTCACTGTGATAATTAAACACAAGCAACCTAAGAAATGCAGTTAAAGATCTGAAACAAAAGATGGGTATGTTGACAAATATAAGAACCTTGGCCAGTATCTTACTGTGCTTCTGATTAATGCAAAGTTCTACCAGTGTAGCAACAGGGGGCTGCACCACTTGCATAAGCACTACTGTTGCACAAGTGGGGATCTTCATGAAGAAAACAAGCCTGTGCACAACAGCAATGCTTGTAAAAGCCGTGCGATCCTGTGTTACTATGCTGGTGGAAGTTTATACTAAGCAGAAGGTCCATAGGATGCTGGCCCTTAGACTCTTTTTGAATGAACAGAGGGATCATAGCAACATAAAGAAGTCAGAAAGCTGAGCAGTTCCCAGAAGATGAAGAACGTAATATCCAAAAACAACAACAAACCAAACAAACTTAGAATGGGCTTTCAGAATGAATGCTGTATTTTGCTATGTATTCCTGATTCTCCTGTATAGCACAGAAGAGTAAACTTCCAACATACTCAAATATTTCTTTTTTAAAAAAATGAACATTATTGCAAGATGCTTAGAATTTTTTGGATCAAGAGGGTAACCAATAAAGAAGTAATCACATAACACATAAAGGTAGAAAGCTAGAACACTGTGACCTTGCAATGAGAATTAAAGATTGTGGTAGCTGATCATTCAAGATAAAATGGAAAATGTCATAAAAGAAAGAAAACGATTACTTGGCCAAAAATTTTAAACAATTTTTGGGATGCAACACAATATCCATGGTTTGGAGTTGCTACATTCAAGTCAGAATAGTCACAATGATACTGTCCAGCTTCTGTCAGGAGAGACAAAAGAAGCAGCAG